GCGCGCGCTCTCTCTCTCTCTTTCTCTCTCTGTCTCTCCCTCTATCTCTCTCTCTCTCTCTCTCTCTCTCCCTTCATTCGTTGATTCATTCATTCATGGGCCTCTGGAGGGCAGCCAAATCATTGCTCGCCTACCCTCTCGTGCACCAGCCTCACCATTGATGGGGGGCTGCGACATCCTCGCCCCGACCCAGCCCGCCACGGCCCTCCACCAACTGGCGCGCTGTGGAGGTCGCGCCTGGTGCGGCTGAGTCATGTGCCCTTTGGCCAGGGCAGGCGACCTCGTCAATCAAAAACTGTTAGTCGGGGGGGACAGGGCAACTGTCAAGGCGGCCTGGCAAAGCACAGACCACCTCCGTGCCGAGCCCCGCCCAAGAAGAAGTAACCAAAACGTTGCCCGTCCGGCGGGAATCCAAAGGCCCGAGTTCCAGGGCTGGCTGCGTGACACCAGCACCGCCAAACAAGTCGACAAACATAAGTAATAAGATAACCGCCATTATCTCACCTCTTCCTCTACCTCCTTCTCTCTCTCTCTCTCTCTTTCCGCCTCTCCCTCTCTCTCTCCCTCTCCCTCTCTGTTCTCTCTCTAGTTTTCCCCCCCCCTCTCTCCCTCTCTCTTGCATACCCACCACCACCAACACCAGCACCCCATCCTCCTCCACGGCCGTATCCTTCCCTCCCTCCCTCCCCCTCTTCCTGCTCTTTCTCCTCCTGCTCCTGCTCCAGGTCATCCAATTCCCCACACCTTCCGCCCCAATCCCCGCCTTTCCACATCCTCCCCCCCAACTCCCGCCCCCGCCCCCCCCCACACCTCCGCCCCCTCCTTTCTCCGCAACTTCCCCCTGCTATCACATCCCCCCCGCCCTCATCCCTCGTCCCTGCCCCGCCCATCCTCCTGTCACTGCCCTCCCCCCTCTGCCTCCCCCTCCTCCTCCTTCTCCCCCCCCTCCTTCCCCGTCCCTCCTCGTCCTTCCCCTCCTCCTCGTCCTTCCCCCTCCCTCCTCGTCCTTCCCCTCACTCCTCCTCCTCGCTCCTCCTCCCCTCCTCCTCCTCCTCCTCCTCCTCCTCCTCCTCCTCCTCCTCCTCCTCCTCCTCTCCTCCTCCTCCTCTCCTCCTCCTCCTCCTCCTCCTCCTCCTCCTCCTCCTCCTCTCTCCTCCTCCTCCTCCCCTCCTCCTCCTCCTCCTCCTCCCCCCCTCCTCCTCCTCCCCCTCCCCCTCTCCCTCTGGCCACGACGGCGACGACGACGAGGGCAACGACAGCGACGTCGGCGACGCGGCGGCGGCGGGGCGCGCCGTCGACGTCGCCCTGGCCGCTCGTCGCCGCGCCCAGCGGGCGCGCGCCGCCCGCCGCGGCAGGGGCCTCCCGGGCGGGGCCGTCCTGAGCGGCGGGGCCGGGCCGGGCCGGGCCGGGCGGGGGGCGGGGCGGGGCTGGGCGGTGGGGGGGGAGTGGGACGCACAGAGACATACTAGTATCAGGTCGTGCCTGTCCCCCTACAGGGGGATCTGGAACGAACAATCCCAAAGTACGAAACAACATACTCCCCAAAAACATCAAACATAGTAACAAAATAGTCCCCAGACTACTTTTTGACTATTTTTGAATACCCCTCCTGTGGAGGGACAGGCCCGACTTAATACGAGTACGGTATGTTCTCCTTGGAGGCGCGCGTCCGATTCGAGCATACAGTATGCCCGTCTTGTAGTATATCGTTCCCCGAGCGGTCTGGCCAGAAAGCGCGGATGTACAATGAGATTTCTCGGTGCGCGCGTCGCCCCTGGGGGGGGCGACGCACATATAGTATAGGTGTGTTGGGGTGACGCCGAAGGAAGGTTGTCAACGGAAGGACCCGTGCAGTCAACCAGCTCACAAGGATGTACGATGAGGACGCAAGGGCCTTGGAAGGCCATCTCGAAGCTTTTCGGGCGGGGCGCGGCCAACGAAAGTGGCCAAGGATGGACCGAGGAGGGAAGGATGCCAGGGTACCCTTGAGAAGGTTGCTCATCCTTACCATGCGGGTCGACTGTAGCCATTTGAGAGCGGACCCAAGTCAAGAGGCCCCAAAGCATCAGGGTTGAAGGGGGTCTTTTCTTTTGCTGCAGATGCATCTTTTCTTTTGCTGCAGATGCATCCATCCAGGCCGCCCAAATGCCAGTACTCCTGACGCAAGGACGGGGACCGAAGTGAGGCCACGCCTTCGTTGCGTAAGTTGGAATAGGGGTTCTGGCGTTCTCGATGGAGAGGGAGGAGTGCTGTCTTGGCTCTTAGCTTGGCCTGGGTTGGCCCCAAAGGCAGTCTGAAAGGCTTACTCTTGGCGGCGCACAGGGGGGTGGAGGGAGGGGGGAGGGCTTCTTAGAAGGAGGCTGCTTCTTGGAAGGAGGCTGCTTCTTAGAAGGCTCCTTAGAAGGCGCCCTTCTAAGAGCAGGGGTGCTTCTAAGAAGCCCTCCCCCCTCCCCCCTCCCCCCTGTGCGCGTGGCTGATACTCGGAGCCCCCGCCGTCGGCCTGCCCGTCGGAGTCGGCGCCCGACCCCGCAGAGGCCCGCTGGAGCTCGCTCGTCGGCCGAACGCTCTGCAGACGTGGGCGATCGTCAGCCGTCAGGCCGAACGCTCGCAGCACGAGCTCCTTCCCCCCCCCCCCCTCAGCCCCCGGCGTCGCCCCCGCGCCTCAGCCCTCCTCCTCCTGCTCCTACTCCTCCTCCTCCTGCTCCTCCTCCTCCTCCTCCTCCCTCCTCCTCCTCCTCCTCCTCCTCCTCCTCCTCCTCCTCCTCCTCCTCCTCCTCCCTCCTCCCTCTCCTCCTCCTCCTCCTCCTCCTCCTCCTCCCTCCTCCTCCTCCTCCTCCTCCTCCTCCTCCTCCTCCTCCTCCTCCTCCCTCCTCCTCCTCCTCCTCCTCCCTCCTCCTTCCCTCCTCCTCCTCCTCCTCCTCCTCCTCCTCCTCCCTCCTCCTCCCCCCCGCCCCCGCGTCGCTGGAAAGAGGCTCGGCGGTGGCTGCGCTGTAGCGCGGATGCCCCCGGAGGGTAGGCCTGGCCCTGCGCATGTCGGGCGGGGGGCTCGGGCGCTCCCGTCCTTGATCGTCGGCGCCGGTGAGCGTGTCAGTCCCACATGTGGGGGGGGAGGAGGAGGAGGAAGAGAAGGACTGGGGTAGACCCGAGGCCCAGGTCGGGCGTGTCCCCCAACATGCGGATGATGAACGAAGAATAAACAGTATGACAAAATATTCAAAAATAGTCAAAGCATCGTCCCTAGACTATTTTTCCTATTTGGGAATATTCTTCCTGTAAAGGGACGTGCCCTACTTAACCCGAGGCGCATCAACGATGCTGGAACAAGCCCTCCCTCCAACGTGGGGGGTGTGGGGGGGACATGTTTTAGCGCCCGAAGGGCTGCGCAGGACGAAGAGGGTGCACACGGCGGCAAGCAGGAGAAAGCCCAGAATCAAATCGAGAAGTCGGATCGGCCATCGAAGTCGGCCGCCGAGTCAGGGGGAGGCCGACTCGGCGGAGATCGGCAAGCCAGAACGTCTCCGGTGGGCAGTCGGGGACCAAAGCGGAACCCCAAGCCGAATCGAAACAAAACCGGAAGCCATCGACATCGAAGCGAATCGGATCGGGGGGTCGAAGTGAGCCCTGCGGCGGAGGGGAAGACGCTCCGCGCGAGCGTGCGCAGAGTGAATCCGTTCGTCTCGCGTCGGCCTACAGGGCCCCCCAAGAGAGGCCAACAAGGCCCACAAACGCCCCCACGAGGGCTCGCGAGCGTGGTCGTCGTCATCATCATCGTCGTCCCCATCGTCGTCGTCGTCGGCGTCGTCGGCGTCGTCATCATCGTCGTCCCGGTCGTTGTCGTCGTCGTCGTCGTCGTCGTCGTCGTCGTCGTCGGTGTCGTCGGCGTCGTCATCATCGTCGTCCCCGTCGTCGTCGTCGTCGTCGTTGTCGCCCCTCTTCAGGGTCGGCACCGGCCGGGCGGCCTTCGCCATTGCATCTGTCCGTCTCACGTCGCGCTGCAATCGGGGCCCCGGCCACGAATAGGATTCCCGACCCAGATCTGAGCAAAAGCTCGAAAACCTGATCCCCTCCTGAGTCCGCAAGGGCTCCCAACTTCGCGCTTCGCGCTGCGCGAAGCGCGAAGTGCGAATATAACTTCGAGCTCTCGCGCCGCCTCCCAGGGGAGAAGAGCAGGATGAAGAGGAATCGGAGCCGAACCGCGAAGCGCGAATAACTTCGCGCCCTCGAGGGCGCCCTTGCTGAGTCCGAATGGTCCCTCTTTCGGCTGTAGTCGAGGGGGGCGGCGGGGGAGCACGCCCCCCCCTCTTGCACACCCCGCCGCTTGCCCTCTTATCCTCATCCCCATCAGCACTGTCCTCTTGCCTTCAGTCCTCAGCCTCCTGCTCGAATGTAGGAAACTCGGCCTCAAGACTCTGACGTAGAGGCTGAACAGCGCCTCAAAAACTCGATACGCAAACCTCGATCCTTCTCCTCCTCCTCCTCCTCCTCCTCCTCGCCAACCGCTCCTCCTGGGAGGGCCGTGGAATCCTCGCTGCAGGGCCCCCCCGAGGGAAAAAGAGCCGATCAGCCGGACTTCTTGAGCAGGAACCGACCGTCCCGGCATTCCTATAGTCCTACCACGAAGTGTTCTTAGAACCCAAAAATGTTCTAAGAACAAAGACGAGGTTCTTAGAACATGAACCCGATGTGATAAAACAAGACAATCTCCGCCAGAACTGTTCTAAGAACATTTCGTGGAAGCCACAAAAAGTTCTCAGAAAATTCGTTGGTGGGGCTATAGGCGCGCCAAGACGCTTCGCCACTGCTTGATCGAGGCGGGAAGCTCGCAGGCACAGCCGGCGGCTCGTGGCCCTGCGGAGCGCGGCAGCGCACTCCGCCCGGCAGCCTTTTTTGAAGGGGCCCTGGAACACACAAATAAATTTACACAAATAATAGGATTCCCCATGTTTTGCAATATTTTCTGGGTTTTCGTCTTCCCCCCACTTCCCATATTTTCATATATTCTCCTGGGGGTCGACGATTCATTGTGTCTGTGTGTGTTTTTCCCCTCCTGATGTTTGGGGACAACGTCGAGCCCTAGGTGAAGTAGCACGGCGCCTTTGCAACGTAGCAGCGACACTGTTCGCTGTCACTGTTCCCGTGCCACACTTCGCACCTCTTGCTGGAGAACGAATGGCTTACCAGCCTGGAGCACATCCCTATCCCGATGTTGGGCATCGCCTCATCGCGATGCAGATCTTGGGGATGTCCTCGGTTCCTGAGGGTGCATCCGTAAGATTGTCATCGCCTTTTGGCGTGTCGATCTTAGAGATCAGGATAAGTTCGAGGCTGGTTAATGGCGAGCAGCGAGCACTGCTGCTTGTGCCTGCATAGCAGCTTCTGTACACGGCACCTGGCGATCCCAAGGCTGCGCCGCTGGGGAAACCAGAAGGTACCCATACCGCTACTCCCCAGACCTCTCCCAGGGTGCGTTCTGACCAGAATTTCGAGGCGAAGCTGGCGGTGGCGACGAGGGCCTCCCAGGAGGCCCACAAAGGGGAAAGCGGCCGAAAGGTAGAGGCATGGGTCCCTTGTCCTCCTCTGAATCTCAAGGCTGCTCAGCTTGCATACTTCTGGACCCACTCGCGTGCGGTCGAGTCGTGCTTCGCCCTGTCCTTCAGGTACAGCTGCGCGATCTCCGGCACCAGAGGGTCGCTGGGGTTGGGGTCGGTCAGAAGCGAGGAGATCGAGAGGAGCACCTTGGAGTTATGCTGCTCCACTCGTACTTACGTAACGCATCCCAAAAATAAGTTCGAGCACCCAGGAAAGTGTCGAAACAGTGTCGAACGAGTATCGCCCCCCAGGGCCCGACACGTCACAACCCTCCAGTTTCGGTACTTTCTTGGTACTCGAAATTCTTTCTGGTGATCAAGGCTAAAGTAAGTTGGAGCATCATCGACCTTGGAGATGGTGAGGGCCGGGCTCCACTGGTCCTTGATGATGTCGAGGCAGATCGCCCCGTTCGAATTGACGTTGCAGTGGTAGATCTTGGTCGTGAACTGCACCTTCTCGGGTGTTGCTAGAAGTGCCCCTGGCCAAAAGTAACCTGCAGCTTTCCGCTCCATTTTGGAGCCCCTGGGGCCCTCCGGGCCTCGTGAGGAGTGCCCTGGAGGCCGTCTGGCCACCCCGAGAAACCTAGGGTTACTTTGGACCAGGGGTACTTCTCGCAACACCGCGACCTTCGGAGGCTTGAAGGGGTAGTCGGTCGGGAACTGGATGTTCAGAAAGAAGGCGCCTCCCTGGTAGGGGCAATCAGGAGGCCCCATAATTGAGGCCTGCCAATTGAACATGTCGTCCCCGGCGGGCCCGGCCGAGCAGTTGTCCGGAGGGTCGGAGCCCAAGTCCGCGAGCTCCTTCTGGATACGCCTGAGCGCCATCGCCCACTACCGCGCACCGCGTACTTTCTGAGGACAGCAAGGGATTTCCCCCGTCTTCAAACCAAAACGGCCTAGAGGGGGAGGAGTCTTCGAGTGTTCAGTTGGCGCTGTCGGCGGTTTTCGGAGGCTGGGACCCTTCCAGCAGCTTCAGATTGACGAGAGTTCTAAAACAGTGATACTGATGCCTTAATTCGGTTCCAGCGGCCCAAGTAGGAGGAGGCGAAGGTGAGAGAAAGGGTTTGGGGAGGGCTTCTGGCGGGGATCCCGCGCCTCCCCAAGAGGAGGTGGATGGGCAGGGGAAAAAATGCTGAGGATCGAGGCTCGAGATTTGAGCACCGAGTTTTTCCTGCCGTTTTGTTCACCTGCTTGGAGCTACAGGAGGCTTCTCGTCACCACTACTGGATTCCCCGTCGAAATCCTGCGGAGGACGATGAAGTCCTGGCTCGGCAAGGCCCGCGGGGGGCAAGACATCTAAGCCGAAGCCAGGACAATAAGAACTCAAGGTGAGGACGAATCTAGAATCTCTGAGGTCCGCCGGCTCTGGAAAATGTCTCGACCGCCGCGGTCTTCCCAGAGCGTTCCGGAACGCTCCGAGAGCGTTCCGGAACGTTCTGGAACGGATATATCCTCATCTGAGCCCCGACCGAACATCGTGCTACTGTACAATCTCCGAGCAGGGCCCAGGCTGGATCACAGCGCGCTCGCCCAAACGGCGAAACTTGGGGGCAGCTCTCGCCAGGAAGGGGACGAGGCGCCAGAGGAACAGGGAAGAGTGCGGAGCATGAGCAGGGAGCAGAGGAGAGGAACCGACGGAGAGGCCCCAGGCTCGCGCGGGAAGCTTCGCCCGACCAGAACGGGCAGGAGGCACTCAGGCCGGTGGAAAGCAAGGCCGACAGCCCACCTGCTCCCCAGCCTGGTCCTTGCTCCTCACTCCTCCTCCTCCTCCTCCTCCTCCTCCTCCTCCTCATTCTCCTCTTCTCCTCTGGCGGCAGCACGTATGCGGGCCTGGGCAATCTTTTTTATATCATTATAAATTTCCCAGCATGGCTTATGTTCGATCCTCTCCCGCCCGTCCTCCCTCGTTCCT